CTTTCCCTAAAGTTTTCCCTGATCTGTTAATGAACTATGTGATATGCCTTTTTAATGGGTTTATCAGAGTGCTATGCTCTTCATAAATTAAGTGAAAATATTTTAAGTAAAAATTTTTTAAGTGCTTTGTGCCTTTTTATTGAAATGTAATTGACATATAACGTTATTAGTTTTAGGTGTACAACATAATGATTCAATGTTTGTGTATATTGTGAAATGATGACCACAGGAAGTCTAATTAATACCCATCAGCACAAATAGTTACAATATTTTTTCCTCTTCAGATGAGAACTTTTAAGATCTACAGTCTTAGCAACTTTCAGATATACAGTGTAGTATTGTTACCTGTTGTCACCATGCTGTAGGTTATATCCCCAGGACTTACGTATTTTGTAACTGGAAGTTTGTACCTGCTTATGTGTCTTTAAGTCAACTATTGGAGAATACTTTGTGACATTTTTAATAAATGTGTTACCAAAAAAAGCTAATCTAAACTATGATACTTAAAGAGGATTCAAAGGCTTTATTGTCTGCTTTCACGTTTCCTGGTCACTTACAAATTCTTTGGTTAAATATGAATAAAGTATTCCCCTGTGTTTCCTTCCCACTTATTCTTCCCTTATCATCAGATATGTATTTCCTAGGAGGAACAGAATGTTACTTAAGCCTTCAGACTGTGGAGAGTGTTTTGACTCTGATTAAACATTATAGGAAATTCTAAATTTCATGTGTGAAATTTTTATGAAATTATATGCGCAAGGTCATTATCAAAGTAATAGAGGAGACAAACTCGAGGGGACAAAATGAACACGAGAATGGGGACCATTGTAACTCTCACACTGGGTGATTCCATCCACAAGCACTTGTGAGACACTTGTCACATAACCAGACTTGTCTTTCAGAGACAAAAGGAGAACTCCAAAGTCCTGAAGCCTCGTGGGGTAAGTGGAGTAAGTGCTCAAAGACTGAGAGAAGAGGGTGGGAGTCGAGAGTTCCCTTGAGGGAAAATGGCTTCTGAGTTGCGTTGAGGAAAGTTTCTATGAGAACTTAAAGGAGTTTGCTCTGTGGTTTCTCTTATTTCAAATACACAGGGATTCGTGCTCTACCCACAGTCTCGTGAATTGCCAATTGAAAACAGAAACATTCTGACTCCCTTAGTGAAGGAGTTATCCATCTTATTAAATCCAAAACCTTTTGTTCAAAGAAAGCCTTTCTGGGAAATAAAAGCAATTCTGAGGTAAGGAGCAGCGTTGAGGTTGTGAAGACCAGAACCTTATGGAAGTGAAGTCTTTCACATGCCCTGTCTGGGGGACATCACTTCAGAGTTCAGATAAGTCACGTGGTTAATGTTTTCTGTGGGCAGGGCAGGTGCCACGTGGTGTGTTGAAGTTATATTGCTGAATCCACAAATTCAGAGAACCTTTTTAAGCATCTGTTATGTGCAGAGCACTTCCTCTGGCATTTGGGATCAGAACACTTACAGTATCCTAGGGAGAGTGAGCTAAAGCAGTCACGTAAGTGTTCCAGGGACAAGGTGTGATGGAGTGCAGGGGGCTCAGTGGGCGCTTCCAGCCCCGCTCCGGAGCAGGATGGAGCGGTAGTGGCACACTCAGAGTTGAGCCTTGAGAGCTGCGGCGGTGGTTCCCAGGCGGTGAGGAGGGGGCAGGGTGACAGGGAAGGCGCTGAGGCAGGAAGAGGGCGTGTTGGAGGACCCGCAGGCCGTTAAGCGTTACCGCCAGTGAGACCCAGGCGCGGCTCAGCGCTGGGCAGTCCAGGCTCTGGGCCCGAGTCCAGAGTCACAGGACGGAAGCCTGAGGTGGAGGGTAACACGGAGGTGGAAGGGACAGTTAGAGACCGTTAGAGACTTCACAGCTGGGCAGTAAAATGAGGGCAGGAAGTTGCTGCAGGGGACATAAAGTTAGGATAAGAGACTTCTTTTTAAATAAGGGAAACTTAAATAGATGTGGAAATAGAGGTTGCAGAAGCAATGAAATGATAGGAATGTGGAGTGTAAGTGGGTTAGACGCATTATGAGTCTTGAAAAACCATTGGCTGGAAGATAAGAGTGGCACTGATGAGTGGAAGGGAGGTTAAGTGTGTGAGGCATAAAAAATTGGGCCCCTGTAACTTCGTCACCCACTTTATAGAGTTGTTACTGAGGAGTGACCATGATGATAGAAGGGGAGGCTATAGCACAGGGCTTGGTACACAGTAAGTAAGTACCCAGAATGTTAGCTGCTGCTGTCATCAACCTCAGGGTTATTACTACTACCTTGCTTTTTTTTAATAGTGTTTTCTATAGTTGTATTATTACAGATTTTAAAATAGTAACACCGTCTTTAACTGTGGATGAATTGACTTCACAAATCCTACAGGAATCCATGGTTTCTTAAAGTCAACCATAAATTTATTATAAAGTTTGTTATAAGTGTAGTTTGTCTTGCCTTGAAGGAGGTTTTAGCACCTTGTAAAGCGGCTTCATCCATAAGTTCTCACAGCATATGAAGCTCCAGGAATGGCGTTGTTGAAGTTTCCGTCCAGACATAGTTGGTATTTTTAGCCTAACTTTTAATTGGCTTTTTCTTTTTCTTAACCTCTATTATATCAGGAGTTAAAAAATGCTGAAATAGCTTTAAGAACCCAGAAAACACCACCTGGACTCCAACATGAGAATACAGCTCCCGCTGAGTAAGTTAAATGTTTCTCTCTTTCAAAAAGCAGAATAGTGAAAACAGTATACAGGGTAGGGATTTTTAGTTTACTTTGTAGCAAGCCTGGGCACCTTATGTGGATTTCTAAATTTAATCCTCATAATAACTGAGAGGGTATATCATCCCCATTTTATTGAAGGTTAAGTGAAGGCTAAGGTCTGAGCTTTTACCCACTATTATGCAGTTGCACTTCATATTACTTACAGGGTCTATTCTACTTGATTACATTGTGCAGATAGTAGAAACTTATATTTATACCCATAAGGACTTTCAATTAAAAAAATACTTTATGATAGTCCCTTCCTTAAACAGTATAGTTTAACTCTTTCACGTATTTCCATAACTTTTATTTTCATACATAATAAATCTTCAGGAAGAAAAATTACAAAGTGTAGATAAGTGACCTGAAAAACCCGCCTGTACCCAGCTTGTATATTCATGTGGTTTCCATGCATGTGGTATATGTCTTGTCTGTGTTGTGCAAGAGAGTAATAGCTAGTATTCTCAAATGCTTGCCGTATGCCACGCAGCATGCTTGGCCCTTCACCTGCTGTATCTGCTTTCCCACTAACCCTCCACAGCCGTCACGTTGCAGTCTTAGAAATGAGGAGCCTGTGGCACGAAGAGAAGAGTCCTGAGCTTCTGCGCGGTAGGGGTCTGGTTGACTCCTGGCCCCTCACCTTTTGGGTTTTTTTTTTCTTTTTATTATAATTTCAGATTTACAAAAAAGTTTCAAGAATGAAACAGAATTCTCATGTATCTTCCATCCAGATTCCCTGCATGTTAGCATTTCTACTGTAGTTTTGTTCCTTGCTCTCCATATGTGTAAATACATTTTCTCCCTGGACAGTTAGGGTTGTTTGCAGACATGATACCCATTAATGCCTGAGTACTTTAGAGTGTATTTCTTAAACATAAAGATATTCTCTTACATAACCATAGTACAGCGATCAGAATCAGGAAATGGACAATAACAGTGATACTCCTGATACCTTATTCAGATTAGCATGGGATGAGCTCCTTCGCTGGACTTCCTCAGTATTTTATTCTACTGTCTTGTTCTTCATGCTGCCATCAGAGATAATTTTGAGATGGGTTGAATTGTGTGATTTTCCTCTGTGAAAAGCTTTCACAGTTCCCCATTTCTTGTGGAGTCATGTTCAGACTGCTTTGTGCTATTCAAGGTCCCGTTTTATCTCTCTAGCATTCTCTCGCTAAATTTATCAGAATAGTGATTATAATTACATACTCTTTCTATAGCACACTGTAGTGTTTTCGGATTATAAATATCAATAGTATTTCAGATTATAAACATAAGAACTGTAAGTATTTTGGCTGTAAAATCTAGTTGACAATTGCACGGGGTTTTTGGAACTTTTTCTTTTGAATTTTAGACTTACAGAAAAGTTGGAAAAATGGTAGTACAAAGAATTTTTTTATATCCCTTACCTGCTTCCCTTACTGTTAACATATTACATAATCATAGTATAATTATCAAGAACAGGATTAACATTGGTACTATATTAACCAAAATACAGAACTTATTTGAATTTTACTGTCTTTTCCACTAATTACTTTTTCTGTTCTAGGATTCTTTTCACACTGGATTTAGTTGTTATTGCTCCTTAGTCACTTCCAATCCGTAACATTTATTCAGTCTTTCCGTTTCTTTGATGACCTTGACATTTTTGAAGAGTATTAAGTTATTTTGTAGATTATCCCTTAATTGGCATTTTTTCGTGATTGGAGTAAGGCTGTGCATCTATTTTTATACCTTGATAACTTACAAGTTTGGGTTTTTGTTTCAATAATACCTCTGTCACTTAAAGATACATTATGTCGTCAGACTAATTCAAAGGCCCTACTTAAATAAACAGGGGCATATTTTTGTTGGAATTTTGAATATAAAGGAAACAGTGTTTTACAACTGATCTGACTTGGTAAATGTTATCGTATAGCTACTTCAGAATCCTGGTTCAGCA